TGTTTTATCCCCGTTCTCCTCCATCTAGAAAGACATATCTCAGTCTACCAGGATCGCCAGGCCTCCCATGCAACTTTCGCACCATAAAACGCCACGCCACAGGGGAGCGAGACGAGCAGATGATAGGGGCAGGTAGGAAGAGAGGTCGCGCGTAGTAGAGCGACCTTTATTACATATTAGTCCGACCGACCCTCCTCGTCGCTCGTATTTCCCCTTCTTCATCAGCTCCGCCAAAACAATAAGTCCTACGCATATCCACATGGAATCATGGGTGCTATTTACAAGAATGGTACTGGAGGTCCCATTCAGGAAAGGAGAAAAGCAAAGAAAAGAGTAAGAGAGATTAGGTGTAGGTATGTTTTGCTTAGAGACCGGTGCGCTGGCGGAGGGCGCGTCCGCGGATTTGGACAGGGGGGTGAGGGGTGTTGTAACGCTTGGTGGGAGGCGTGGAGGGAGGGTTGTAGGTGGCACTAGATTGCATGGGTCAGTTCTTGAGAATTCCACAAGATTACAGCGCTTTCTGAACGGAATGGGGAAGTTACCCAGTGTACGTAGGGAAGGGCTCCAGGTTCATGCCGGTCTGGTCAAGAACGTTCACCGTGTTACCGGCGGCGTTACCAGCAGTCGGGATACCCTGAGCGCGGCAGGCAGCCTTGTGGTCATCGGGAAGGGTAAGATTGCGGAGCTTCTCCGGGGCCTCGATGATGGTGGCGGTGAGCCCCATCTCCACGTGCCACTCAATATGGCAGTGGAAGAGGTAGACGCCCGGGTTGTTGGCCTCGAAGCGTAGGACGGCGTGGGAGTTGCCCATCACGGTGACGGTGTCGCGGCGCGGGGGGGTCTGGTTGAGGCGGGCGCGAGCAACGCCGGGCCAGACGCCCGTGTTGGAGGCGGGGCGTCTGACGACCTGGAAGTGGTGGCCGTGAAGGTGGAAGGGGTGGTTTGCGTCGTTGTTGTTGTTGACGACGATGTCGACAATGTCACCGTAGTTCACGACAAAGGGGTGGACGGCGCCATAGACGAGGGTGTTGGTGTTGTTCTCGCCGGTGGTGGAGGCCGTGTACAGAGTAGGGACCTTCTGATCGACGTAAGGAGAGCCATTTACGCAAGCGCGCGGAATGCCGTTCTTGTCGTTGCAGAACTGCCAGTCAAACTGGAAGATCTTGGTGGCAGCAGGGAGGATAGCGACATCGCCGTAGGGCTCAAAGACGGCATCGTCAGATGGACGCCACGCAGTGACGACGTCGGCGCCGAAGGCTCTGTCGGGGAACATGACCAGCTGGCCGGTGTAGTTAAACGGCCAGCTCTGGGCGAGGTCCTTGTTGCTGTAGTCGGGGTTGATATCGCCGGCGATGAGGAAACCATAGTTGCGGTTGTCACGGTCAATACACTTGATGAGAACATCATAACGCTGGGCGGGGGCAATGCGCAGCATGTAAGAGGTCTTCTGCTTGATATAAGCGGCATCGGACATGATGACATTCATGTCGTGAGAGTCGAAGTGAATCATGAAGGAAGCAAAGGCGGCGTAGTTGATCATGCGGATGCGGTAGGTCTTTCCCTTCTCAAACTTGAACTGGGCACCAGCTCCATCGTTGACAACAATGCCGTTGGGGATGGGTGGCGCGAAACGAGTGTTGGACGGAAGCAGCATGTTCTGTACCAAAGGAATGGTCTGCGAGTTGTACCTGCATCGAATTAGTCTGGAAGTCTTACTTGCATCCTCATGCCGTACTTACCAGTCTGAAACGGACAGGGTGTACTCCTCATCGTATTGCCCAGCATAGGGGTCCGCCGGGTCGTGGATAACCAGGGGACCACGCATACCATCAGGGTACTGGCCCATGTTGTGGGAGTGCCACCAGTAAGTGCCACCTGTATCAGCCTTTGAGGATTCATTAGCTTGAGTTTTACTATGGCTTTGTTTTCATATTGATATATAACCTACAGTGAAGGAGTACGTCATGGTCAAGTCCGGAGGAAGAGGGCACTGAGTGACCATACTGGGGCCATCCATCCAGTTGGTGCTAACCTGGTCGATGCCGTGAAAGTGAATACCGGTGGTCTGGTTGCCAAGCTTGTTGGTGAGATGGACAACAACCGTGTCTCCCACGGTGGCCTCGATCTTGGGGCAAGGCCATTGACCGTTAATACCAATGACGGGCCTCGAGACATTGTTGGGAGCAGCGTTGACCCAAGTGGCCTCCCAATTGTAGGTCACAGTCGCAGCCAGGGCAGCGTTGGCCCAAGCCAAGGTGAAGAGAGACCGCAGCATGATGGGCACTCGTGACTAGACAGACCTGGTCTAGCGAGCTGAAATTAAGCAATTATGGGTACTCTTCCGGCGAACGAGTGGAGGAAGGGAGTATGAATGCAGAGAAAAAGAAGGGAAAGGGAAGCGCGAGTGAGGAGTGAAGTCTCGTATCACAATCCGAAGAGGGAGAGGAAGAGAACTTATACAGATGGATGCCATGCTGAGGGTCTGCATGACCAGAGCGTGAGAAATGTGGGATCTGGGCGCTGGAGCCTTCTCTGAGACCGGCCGGCCCCGGCTGCTTGGAAGAGTTGAAGCTCTGACATGGTGCCGGGCTTGAGTTTGGGAAAAAGTCGATCGATGCTCGGGCGAGGCGAGACGGGGCGCCGGAGTAGAACAGCGGCCTAGATGACATATGGCGTTGTGCTGACTGCTTGCACATGGCATGTATTGGAGTCGGGCATGGCCAGGCGTATAAGCCACACCTTAGTATTAGCTCGATGCATGGTCGGATGTCCGTTGGATGCAGCGAGCTAGGGGAGGGGGACTAGACCCTGTCAAGGCTATCTAGGATGGTTCGTATCGTCAACTCTTGGGCAGGTGGGTATGGGAGAGCATGGCGTGCCAGGTCCTCAGACGAATGAGTGTCGGAACAACAGTCGATATCCATAGCTAGGGCCGGTGACTTTTTACTCGGGTTGCTTGAGACAAGGCAGCATGGCCGTGCATTCCTGTGACTTTGAAGAAGAAACTCGTGAGCCACAGAGGAGGGAAACAAGTGCATGAGCAATCTAGAACTGCAGCTCTCACTAAGAAAGCAAGGGGGTCATCAGACGCGATCAGCGTACGGCTGTCTACAGCCCTGGTGCTTTCCGGGGTGCGCTAGCTGTGCAAAAGAGTCGATGAGGAAAATTGACAATCACTGGATATATCTACAATTGGGTGGTGATTATAAGCCACCATGCAAGCAGGGCTCTCTGCAGGATAAGTGAAATGAACCGGGGAGGCTATTGAGGAACACAGCAGGAAGTGCTGGTTTGAATCCATGACCTTGCGGGCCACAGGATTTGACTGGGGCTCCTTGCGAGAACGAGGGCTCTCAGTCCATGTCGAGGAAGCGTAAGACGGTTCCTCGGCGCGGAAGGACAAACTACTATTGGGATTGGCCAGAGGTCGGCAAGTATTTGACTCGTGAGTGTACGGGAGGAGCGCGAGGATGCAGGCCTAGTTGGGCTGAAGCGCTCAGGTACATGCCGACGTCATGGCGGTACCTAGACTTTACCCTCTCGAGTTTGGGTCGTTGTGCTGTACAGAAGCAAATTCGAGGGCGGGAGCACTCTGATGAGATGGAATGATCACTGGATTCCGTCCGCCGGATATTTCGTCCCAAGAAGCCAGCGAGAGTGTACGTTGTGCGGTTCCGTCATCTTGGCATCAGGAAGCAGACGTTGAGAACTGAATACAAGACTTTGCTATATTGGACCTCGTCGCAGTGGCGTCAAAGAGTGTGGATTACCTCAACGTGTGTGGATGTGTCTCATAGGAGAGCCAAGATTGGGGTGGTGAACTGGGTCTCGGTACTAGGCCCAAAAAGGTCCATGTGAGCTGCCGTTATGGTCAGGAATTGGGATCCAAATGCCTTCTGGTGACCACTTGACCTTCAATTCGGGAACTTTTGGGCCTTGCCGTGTACGACGAGGCTTTTGTGCTGCGCTGAAAAGTACGGCCGCTTGAAGGTGCACGCCCACGGGTGTGCCTGTCTATATCTGACTTGCCGTCCGTCTCTTTGGATGGTGAGGATGCATCGGCAGCTGTCGTAGGTACTATCGCGGTCTGCAAGAGACGTGTCAGGTCATGGTTTACTGGCGCTAGTGGACAAAGAAACGGGACGGCCGGCTGAGATCATCCCTTGCTGAATTAGACGAACCTGGAGACCTGTCGTGGATATCAGGATTGGCGTGTTGCACATCATCGCCAGCAGTTTTTTTGGTCCAACGATAGTGTGAGTGGTGGGAGACGGTCAACGGCGCGGTAAAGCCAACGCTGCCAACAGGGCAGGGAATAACTATGCACAATGGCTGTAGTCATGCTGCCTCTCCCTGCTGGCGTTGGCCCATGCGCAAGTAAGCAGTGAGAGGCCGGGATCGTACGTGTGAGCGTGGATGGGTGAAGACAGTGCCAAGCGTTCGAGTGAGGTGAGAGTTGTTGTTGTTGGAAGAAACACTCTGCTGGGACGACGGGTAACGGTAAGGTACGTATCGGAGGATATGGTTATGCCTGAGGCTCTTGGCGGTACTTACCTTGGGGTACGTACAATTGAGGAAGAGAGCCTTACCTCAGGTAGTACCTGTTTGTACTTTGGCTTTGGAGAGAGCCTAGTGCCCTGAAATGGGAAATTTCCTCCCGCATTAGCGCTGGCGGGGTCGTATTCCCCTCCAACCTGAAGGGCCCCCCTCCCCTATTCCCCTTTCCCACCCTCAAAATAGCATTGGGGAGCAGCTTGGAGCTGCACCTACCGTCGGCCCAAGAGGCTTGGTCCTCCTTGGGCCGGCCGACCCTCTCTTAGTTGCATTAGCACCAGATTCACGTTGCAGTCCGTTTGCCTATGCCGTCCCACTACAACTCACCAAGACGGGGAATGGAACGACGAGCCTCAACTGCGTGCGAACACCGTCGCGATCAGGCCCGCAAACACAGGGATAGTGGCCGGGGATCTTTCAAAGATCAGTGATCGACCACGGCACCATTAAGCGACATGTTGCCAGCCGAAGATCCCAGTCGGTGGCATCTCGTCCATGAAACTCGACTCGACCCTGACGTTCAAACTGACGGGTCCGGCCTTTGCAGACTGACTCTCCTCGAGTCCGAGTCCGAGACCTTCGTCGCCGGCAACTTGCCTCATCAACCCGTCTCTGCGTATCACTGGCCTCTTTGACCCTAAGGTTACCGTAGGACTGGCATCGTTTTCAACAGAAAACTCCGAGATTCCGGGCCGTTCAGTCCGGTGACCGCAATCCCTTCCCCTGAAGCCACCCCGCGCGGTCCGCCTCGTTGGCCCTACAATGACAGCCAGGGTCGCTTGATTAGAGCTTTCAACCTCTTGGAACAATGAATGGCATTCGATTTGACAGCAATGACAAGTCCACAGACTTCATCTGCTTCTGGCGTGCTTTGTAGGCTTGCCGGCCCTGTATTTGCACGCATTGAACTCGCCCACACCTCTCGACGTCACCTAAGGTATCCCAAGGTAGTCATGTCCACTTACTGATCCTGCTTACAGTTCATGAGTGAGACCGGCAGAAGGGTTGCCGTCTGCAACTGCAACGCCGCCTCTCCTTTCTATTGTCACCGTGGAATGCGTTCATCCACCTCACCGAACACGATTGCGGTCCAGCAAGACGGTCTCCTGGCTTTTCAGGTGGCCCGTAAGCCACACCATCACGGGCTAAGGCGAGCTGCGACCACCATTTTGGCACCCGCATCACTACTTTGCAGTATGTACTGGGGTACCGTTGCAACACACCTTCCTTCGACATCCTTGTCCCAGATCGCCCACCCATCTGATTGTCCGCCAAACGCGACCTCGCTTGCCATGAGATGGCCCTGGCCCTGGCCAGCAGACTAACTCGAGCCCCGAGGTAGTCAGGCCTGTCGGTCCACTCACGGCTTGACGACTGTGAAATCCGCCCTGGATTGGCTAATCTTTTTGACAGCATGGAATTCTGCCGCTCGCCGGCCTGGTCCGAACGGCACACCTAGAGGTTTCCGTCCCTGCAAGACACACCTGCCCACCGCTTCCGCTATCAGATCGGATGGCCAGTTTCGTGCTGCCAACAACTTTCAATGAAGCGGGCCAGTGCCGCGGCGACTGTTTACTAGAACTGTGCTGCGAATGTCGAGGTGGTCGAAGTACTACCATGGCACGACGAAGATTGCTGGCTTGAGCGAGACCTTGTAAGGTTCTCTTGCTGCAATGCATGTAAAAATAGGCTTGCCTGTGTTGATCCCTAAGGAACACGTCAAACCTGCCTTGGAGGCGTCAATAAGCCTGCATACAGGAAGAGCCTAGGCGAAGCTGAGCTGGAAGGATCGGGGAAACGCCTGGTTCACTCAGACCTCACCAAGAGGCTGAGCTCCTTAGCAGTGGGATTCTATCGACACATATGCACGGATCATAGAAGACAGAATGTCTCGTCTTGACCCTTCTTTGCGCTTTACCAGCTTTTTCTGTCCGTATTACTGTCTAGCTCGACGCTGTCTCCCGCTTCGCCCGTTCTGTCTCATTGCATGCCCTGACCAGCCGGAGCTTGGTTCCTTCTTCCGGCTCTCCGAGCTTCGGCTGTGGGCACTACTTGCGGTCTTTGAATAGATGGGTGCAACTTTTCTAGAGTCGTTCGTTCAGCCTGGGTAAGCAGAACACCACTACCTTTGGTGGTAGGATCTGGTATCCAATAGCATATATGTCCCTCCAACGCGGCTAGTCCAAAGCTGCGGTACCTCATCTGATCCCAGTCAAGAGAAAAAGCGGTATTCATGCTGTAGCACATCTTCGTGGCTCGAGAAAGTCGGTGCCAGGCGCCCGTAGATTGCTGCCCTTCATGCAGCTAGCAAATTGTACATTCTGTGCCAATTTGACGCATACAAGACCTCGGCTAGTTTGATGGTTCATGGCTCATCAACAGTCGACGCTGAATTCTGATACGATTGGCATCCTCGCATCCAGAGATATGGTCAGCTCGATTTCCCACCCTGGACACCACCTGTTTCAAATGCCGAGCCCGACATATCCCAGCATTCTTGCTATCCTGGTGGAGTTACTCCAAATCTCCTCTTTGAAGGCAACAACATCTTGTGGGCAATATCCGGACGCAGATGCAACCCAAAGGCCTGATGCACACCTCAGCATCGTGCATGCACGTCCACGGAAATATTGCAGAGCGCGCCGCTTAGCGGCCAAGCCTTACCTCGTGAGTGGGTGGATGCGAAGCATCTCGCCGTAGCGTCTATCATTCACCGAGCCTTGCAGGAGACCCTGGTCCCCGTCCGCATCACTGTGGCTGACAACAAAGAGAAGTCGGTCCACTCAACACTCAGCTTACTGGAATACCTGTAGCTGATCGTTGCCCTACTATGGCGAGGAAGAGCGCCAGCTGACGGCTTCGTTCCTCAACGGCCTTGGGGATGCAGAACCTTGATTGATGCAGCCAACGAGCGATGGGTATTGAAACGCGTCGGAGGCCTGGCTGACAACTTTCTAGGTGCTGCTTTGGTTAGGGCCAGCTGTGGCGCTTACTGTCTTGGTTCAATTTGGAAATTTGTCGCCTCATTCAGATCATCGCCCGAACCTGTGAGCGGCGCTTTCATGTCTCCGCTCCGATCGGCACCTTCCAACTATTCCGCCGAGTCCTTGACCCGGAAATGTGGAGATCCGGAGCAACCCCCGGATGCCCCACTCCCAGGTCCGAGTCCTCGACACTTCAGTGTGTTTTATTAATTCTATGTCGAAATTGACCGACGATAATACAGCTATGAAACTTCACTTCCTGCTGTTTTACTGTCACCAGGTCGCTAATTATTCTTGACACGACAATGCGGCACCGAAGGACTCCGAAATTCCGCTCCATGGAGGCCGAATTTTTCCATCCGAAGACTTGGACACCGCAAGGGACGCCTCACAGCTCCGACCCCTTTTGACTAAAAGTTTCCAGCCCGAAAGGAGACAGTGCCACTTCAAAATGTCTCCAGACGACAGTATTTAGTTGCTGTCAACCTCTCCGAGATAAGGTCTGGTAATTCGAGCGTTGCTTTGACACCTGGCGACCCACGAGGTTGGGGTCTCCTCGTCACGCTTGGATCACGACGCATACTCTGTGCTCCGAGTAACTAGTTCTTTCTCAACACTAAAGCACCCCACAAAGTCCGGTTCTCGAATTATCTGAAACCCAGTTCCTTCAGCATCGCTCGGCCTATTTTTTGCGCAATACGATATGGGTCCGCAAATGTTGTTCTTCTGGTATAGTCTGCCCGAGTCCCACCACCACCACCACCACCACGGCGACAGACCTTGTCGCCGAGACGACGGGTTCCGTAACGGCCGCTCATGCGTCCGCCGAGACCTGCGGCGTTATCGCAAGAGGACGATGAGCGGGCGTTGTCGAGCTATTGGGCCCTGCCCCGAACACGAGGTCTGCGTCGACCGTGCTTGCTCTGGAGAAAGGACTTGGTCATCATACTTTAAGCAGAAGAAATCGAGAAGGCTGGGTTGGTCGCAGTCGGCCGCCACAGGTTGTCAGCTAGGTCGGGACTTGAGACTTTGACGGCATCTGGGGTTGGTGCATGAGAACTCAACCTTGTCGACGAACCTGTCACCTCTCGCGAAACCGAGCTTCGATGGATTGAGTTTCCGTTAGGCTTTATCGAAATGTCGGATCTAAAGTGTTTGCCATTTTGACTTCAGAGTTTGGTGGGTCCGTTTCGTTCGTCTATTCGGAGATTTTACTTTGTAACATGTGGCTTTAAACCTAATTTTAATTTAGGCGTACCTGGGAGATGTGTCGACCAGCCCCAGGTCCGTCAATCTTTCCCGAGTTATTGGAATCAATTCGTTGAAGCGATATGTGGATGGAGTCTGTCAGTTCGTGACGACATCTGCTACAGATCACTCGTCATCAACTCAGATTTACACCAAGGTAAGATTGGCTTGAAGTTTCCCGAAACCTCACAAAGACGGAGAGAAAGTCCCCATCTCCGCAGCGTGATTGCTGAATTTGATACAGATACCTCGTTTGATGTGGATTATAGCTAACAGCATGTGCAATACCATACTACGAAAAATCTCAGCGCCTTGAATTTGCTCTTCATCATATGTGTGCTCGTGATTGCACCGCCACACACATACACACCATCATCCCATCATCTGAACCTCTCAACCTCATTGACTAGAAGGTTTCCAAGTGAATTCTATAATAGAAAAGCTCAAAATCCTGTTAAGGTTAAATAAATACATCAAAAGACCAAGGGGAACCTTGCACCAGAGCTGGCTGAATAGTCCGAGCTTCTGTGTTCATCCCATCTAACATAACGATGACGTGTGTCCCCTGACGGAGCTCCTTTGCTGGAATGATCTCGGCGACCGGAATCCAAACTTACCGTGAGTTGCTTGGAGATTGAAGTTAGTCGGAGAGGGAAATTTGACTGCTGTCCCAGAAGTTGGATCTAGGCTTTGCCGTTTCGCATGCGGTCTGATATGCCGTTGCAGAATTGGTGGGAGTCGGCGATTTGTCCTTTACGATTCTGAGCAGTTCTGTGGCAGGGTTCAAATCAGGATTGTATCCCGGTGGCATTTTCGGCTCTGTGGGGGTGTGGGAGGTTAAGAATATACGTTCATCCAAGAGTATAATGGCGACCTTCTCTTGACGCTCTGCGACGAAGTTGGCATTATCCAGTCTGTTGTGATATCGGGTGTTGACCTCGCCTCTGATGATGGCAGTCTCCGCGAAATTTGATTTGCTTGTAGTGCTTTGAAATCTGTTGGCCTTGGGAGTGATGCCAAGGTGGAAAGAAGGACTTGATCTAGTTGGTCTTATCGCTTCGTGAGGGTAAAGTAATCGTTTCCCCCTCTTCCTTTTTTGGTTTTGCACGCCCGCTTTCATCTCAACTGAGGTATGAAGTGAAGTAAGCCAGCTGACGTTCGAGTGAGAATGAGTATTAGCAGTTGAAGATTACCCGAGGTGAAAGCCTTAGGGAACTTGAACGTGATAGTTGGAAATGTTTATGGCATGGATATGAGCGCCCTCGTCTCCACCGGTTGATGATGAAGAAGATTCTTGGATATCGAGCGTGATTGGTGATACCAAGGATTGACGTAGCCCGCCTTGCTAGTAGTTATCACCTAAGTTAGGGAGAGGTTGTCTAGTTCGCGGAAGTCAATGTTGCTATGGAAGTTGAATTCGTCCCATTAAAGAGGAGGGAACGGGGCTGGGGGATAGAAATTGCAGTGAAGGTGACTTCTTGTAAAAAAAGACAGGTCATTCTCATCAAATTAGGAAAAAAGATTTGAGCTGACTCAGGTTACTAACTCGACTGCTTATTTGCTCTCCGTTATCAGAAGGTCTTGAAATGATTGAGTTGATGTTGATGATGACGCGTAGCAGCTACTTCCTACATAGCCCGTGAGATCAAACTTCCTATCAGCCAGGATATCCTACCGTTTCTCTTCTCCGTCTTTCTAATGAATCATTCGTCAGCTCAATCAAACCTCTTTTCTTCCCCACTCAAGGTCAGGTACGACGTGTGTTGTGGGGTCGTCGCCGGCCATAGTCATCGTGAGAGAAGTTTGCTTTCAACAACATCCCCGATAGTCTAGTGGTGAGGATATCTGCTTGTCATTGATCTTCAGCGATTCGCAGGGGACCGGGGTTCAATTCCCCGTCGAGGAGTTTCTATTTTGCTCTATCTCACTATTTTATGGGTTGTCGTGACCAAAAGGCGGTGGTTGTGAGTTTATAGACGATTGCGTGGTGGGTGGTGAGTTGCAAAAGTCTCTATCGTCAGATCGCCAAATTGAATGTGTTTAGCTACAGGGCGCGCGCAGTAGGTCTTGAAGGACTGAATTCTTTTTTAAATAGCTTTACGTATGCTTCCTGGGCCCCCTTTGACCTGTGAAGTATCCTCTAGTATACTTCGATTCCTCGGCCGTGAATTATGGCGAGCTCCGATCAGCGATGCTCTTTCCAGTTCTACAGGCTCCAGTATCAGATCGCGAAGCTGTCTGAAGATATCCACCGGTCGCAAAAACAAAGCACGTTGGCGCGTCTCGCTCGGTCTTTCTGTCGAGGAAGCTGTACACTCCTACTTCAAGTCCCGTCAAGACAACGAGACTTGGAAGCCAACTAAGAACATCCTTAAGAATTAGACTTGAAATTTCGCCGAGAAGGGGATGAAAAGCTTCAATTTGCGGTATTTGCGGTAAAGCCATGAACCGGTGCAGGACGACTATCTCCTGGTGATGTTGAGTTCTTGCTGCCTGCTTGAAACGACGCTTTCGCGGCACACGAGATCTATATAGTTGAAAACCGAACAATTTGCGTTAAATAATTCATTATTCGCCTTCCTATTACCAATCTTCTAACAGAAGCATTCGCAGTCGGCACCGTTCGCCATCCATCTTCCACAGCTAGTGCAGCACTGTACCCAACCTTAGCCGAATGCCTTCTAATCAACGAGAAAACTCGAATGGAGTCTTTCCGGTGTGAGAAAGAACTCTAGCCCCAGACTAACCTTGTTGCTGCACAGAACATAGCAGCCATCCTGACCCGAGGGACTGTAGTTCGACACCCACTGCATTGACAGGGGCCAATTGGCAAATTCATATCGCGGACAAACCCCAAAAGATTAGATTGGCTCATCTTTGAAGATTCTTCTTGCTGCAGTAAAGGAGTTCGAGGCAAGTGGTTTGAGAACTTACATTTTTGTCATACTTTGTGCCGCGGAGTGGCGCTGACCCGGATCGCAGCGATGAGGAAGGCGAGGAAGAGACGCTTTTTGATGGAGATCATTGACTTTGGGGACACGACAGTAGCTATCGGCTGTGGAACTTACTATTGAATGATGACTGGATGCAAAAGAAAGGCCTGAATGGTAGACTTTGCAACTCCCTTACTCTTACACATAACGTTCGAATTCGAAAAGACCTCCTTTCAGCCAGCCAACTACTCAAACCCCAGATACTCTGTGTATTCAGCTTTCCTTGGCGTTAAAAGAAGATGGCGAATGTCACTTACTCAAAGGCGATTGGAAAAGAGACTCAATTACCTGTCCCGCCGATTAATCAATGAGTCTTGACAGCTCGGCTGCCCTTTCTGCCTTATTCGAAACACGCAAGTTATGTAAATGGAGTCTCCAGACATTCTATCGGATTTCTCCTTACGTCTTGGCAACTGTCGGCCTCGTATTCAACCACTTTGGCAAAATTCAAATTGCAGGTAGGACCCGGGGCTGAGGGCAGAACCAAGGAAGAAGAGCCTGGGCGTCGGCGCCCTGGACCGCCGGGGGGAGGCTTACAATGGCGAAAGCAAGGCGGATGCGTTCTTTTCTCGGCCGTGGTAAAGTTGTTGAAAGGTCAACGCATCTACTAATCAGCACCAACAAGTGCAGATGAAAGTAATTGACGCCGTTTTGTGCTGGGTCAAGTCCGTTAGACTATGAACTTGATACTACTGGATCAGTCTCTCCTTTTCCCTTGGTGTACCTGTGTGAAGTGACCGGATTGTCTCATCGCAGCCCTTGTGCGCAAGCTCCACGACCCGACCTGGGGTGGAATAATGTGATGACTGGTTTCATAAGGAGTTTTATCACCTGCTTCGATTCCAAGCCAATGACATCAGGGATCTTCAACTCGCCTAGCCACTCCCAGCGCGGTCAGTCCGATTGGGCGATGGCAGCTAGCAGAATCACGGAATAGACTCTGCAAGTCGCAACTCATCTTCTACTTCTTCCCCTTCCCAAACCTGACTAAGAATATGGATATAAGCCTTCCAGTGATTGCCAGTCTAACCTTTCTCACAGATCTTACTTCCTCTGCAAACCGGAGCGGATTGATACTGACCAGTAGTCATGCCGCACATGTAGAAGAACTGGTTCCTAAATAGGGGTGTTGGGGGAAAAGGGGACGACGACCACGTAATGCAACTCACGTGCGTTCGAACACAGGCGCAAAAGTTTGACAGCTATTCTTTTCTCATCCTAGCTCGCCAACGCGCCTTCATTGATAAATCTTCGAATAAATCGCCATTATACTCCAGAAGAAGAATTCGAATAGGAGGGGGGGACTAGATAAACCGCCCCAACGCCGAAAAGCCTTGCGCGCGCGCGCTTCACTTTTCTAGGTGCCCTCACCGCCGTCTCTAGCCAGCAAAAATCTCCTCTAGCCCGCTCCACGTCCCCTTGGACCTCTCCTCCCAGTACGAGTCCTTGCCCGTCCTCAGCTTCCACACCTCCTCGCCCTCCGGGCCCTGGCCGACCTTGACGAACCACTTGGGCTTGTGCTCCTCGCCTTTCTCCTCCAGCACGCGACGGCGGGCGCGCTGCGCCTCCTCCAGCTTGACCTTCCACTCCTCGGCCTGGTCGAGGTCGCCTTTCTCGGCCAGACGCTGGTCCGGTCGGAGTCGGCTGTCTGTGGGAGGCAACCTGCCCTTCTCGATCTCCGTCAACTCGTTCAGGGCGGCGGCAAAGGTGGTCATTCCGTACGTGTTGGCCGCGTTGTCGACAAGCTTGCCGACGCTCCAGATTTCCCGCCCGGCCGCCTTGCCGGCTTCGACGACACGGAGACCACTTGTCCATGTGCCGGCGAGGCTGCTGCCAGTGTGTACTCCGTCCGGTCCGTACGTCTCAACCTGAACATCTTCGCCGCGTCCGCCAAACATTCCCTTGCTCCTGAATTCGACCGAGGCCTTGGCCCCGGAAGAATCGTTGCAGATCTGCATGACACCAACCGGCTCTACGTACTTCTCTCCCATCACCACGTTTCGCAAGAACATTGTGGCGTGCGTCCAGGAATACAACTCATCCGTCCCGTCGGGGAGTCGAAGCGCGACACGAACGCGACCTTCCGTGGTGATTTCGGCACTCTTGCCCCAAAACTTCTGCGACGGCGCAGGGGACTGGCTGAAGGACCAGCTGGCAGAGTCGGCTTGCATGGCCAGTCTGACGGGGCGATGGCAGACCTTTTCAACGAGCAAACGGAAACCTCCGGGCACTTCCTGCTCAGTTCGTAGCATTTCATACGTCTCGCCTAGAAGAGGGTTGAACGGTTTCCGAATAGCGCGTTCCTTTGCGCGGCCAGTGCTGAACTGTGACACTGCAAACGCGGTGATGTAGAGGAGACGATCCTTGGCCTCTTTCTGCAGAGCGGCTTGGTCAAGCAGCTGGGCGTATTCCAACTGTTCTGCAACACGCTGCAAAAGTGATATAGGTTCGTTTGCGGATACGGGCATACTGATCGTGCTAAGATCCTTGCCGACATTCTTCCGCACAAAAGCAATCAGACTGGGAGGCTGCACCATGGCTGGCGGAATCTTGCTTCGTCTGTCAACGGAGATGTCCACTGGCAATGGCGACAAGCTTTTGGGTTTCGCTGGGTAGCAGTTGGTGTCGTCTGAGCCTATAGCGTCATCCTCCTGTGCCGACGAGATTGACGAAGCATCACTCAGACGTTCATCCGCATCTGAGTCTGGGCTTTCGTCTTCGCTCTGGGCGATCCTGACGATCTGTGAGCTCGTCTCACCGGCCTCTGCGTCGAAGAACTCCTCTGTCGACACTGTCTCCATACTTCTCCTAGAGGGTGCAGCAGAGAGAGGAGCGGGGGACCGTCGGCGCTTGCTGTTCACAATCAAGGTTGTAAACTCAGTCACAACGGAGTCGATATCGTTGAGAAGTGCCGCACAGTGCTCTTGTGTGCTCTTCTCCTCGTGGACAGAGGCTTTCGACTTTGACTTTGAATGGTGGGGTCCATTCGCGCCGATTACCGTCGTGACAGTCCCTGGAGACGGAACGGCAAGGGCAGCGGCGGCAGCGGCGTGATGCGCTTGGGGCGTGGATGCCGTCGGGGTAGCGTTACTTGACTTGCGCTTCCAGAACGGGCGCCGTTGCGGCTGTTCAGTCGCTGCAGGAGGTACAAAGTAGCCATCCGGTTCCTCGTCCAAGGTACTGCCTGGCGACAAGAACGTCGAAGCAGCCATGCTGACAGGCCTTTGATTCGACATGTCCTTTACTAGACGACGCAAAGCGTCCCTGGTACCGACCATGCGACTGACAAGAGTCTCAACCTGCTGCCATTCGCGATCCTCCTCCAGACTCGACTGCGTGGGCTTCAAATACGTTGTGTTTACCCTCAAGGACGCTGCTCGAGCGTTCAGTGTGTTGGGCTGCTGCTCCTCAACGCCCCGCGCTGCGCGACTCGCCTTTTCCAAGGCCTTAGCCCAATCGTTGAACTCCTTGGCATTGGACGCGCGCAGATGCCAGATCTCGGCGCCCGAGTCAATGTTAATTTCTCTGCGGCGCTCGTCGGCTGCGATTGCAGCCAGACTTAGAGGGATAGCACCACGGAGTGCAGAGGAGTTGCGGTTATAGTAATACGAGAGAGTGCAGGAAGAATAATCCAGCGAGAAGAATCTGCGCGCATAACCCTGGCCCTTCTTCCTCCGTCTCTTGTGAAGAACGCCCGTGTGATAGTTGGAGTTTCCATCGCTGCGACCGGAAGCTGAAGTCGGACGTCCTGCGGCAACGTGACTATGAAGGCTGTCTTGAGAAGCAGACGTAACAGCGGTCATCTGCGGCAGGCTCGTCTTGCTAGCGCTGGCATTCGCTCCGGCCTGTAAATTCGGGAAGTTCTGGGCTGTGGTCTGCGGCGGTGCGCCGGTCGGGTAGGTGAGAAGGACGAAGGTGGCCGTCTTGGAGATCTGCTTCGAGAAGGTGTTGTCGAACACCAAACCGAACATTCCGCCTTGGCCTTTTGGCACATCCCATGTACCGGTCGACACCTTATCCGCATCGCATTTCCCACGCCATTTTATGGGTATGAATCCCTTGTTGGCGAGCTGTTCTTCGGCGGTGCTCGAATCTCTCTTAGCAAAGGGTTTCTTGGGCTCGGCAACGCCAGAGGTAAAGGAGCCAGGGGTGGCGGCATCGTCGTTCTGATTCGTGATGAGGCCTGCGGCGGCAGCTCCGGGGTGCTTCACGATTCCAAAGTTACTGCCTCGGCGAGTGGTAAGCACGTGTCGGAATTGGAGACGCAAAAACAGACAGACATAGGGGAAGGGATTGAGGGACGTACATGGACTTCTTATGTGGTTGGACACTCCAGGATATTGTATGGCCTTCATCGACTTTTGCCCAACGCACAATATAGGACTATTAGGAGCAAGCTGTCAGCATCGAGAAGCTTCAAGATGCGCTGCTGCCCGTGGTCAAAGGCGGCGGCGGCGGAGGGGTAAGGGGAAGGCCGGGGACAATGACGACTCACGTACCTTGCTATGGATCTCCAACTGCTCAATGCCCGCCATTTTTGCGGGTTAGTACGGGAGCTCAAGCTGTCGCTGGATTTTGCAAAAGAATTGGAAAGTGAGGGGCCGTATGCGTTCTCGTTCCAGTGCAGGTCGTAAGGCTATTGAGAAGGCATGGCGTGGAGGGCAAGGGGATTTGGGAATAATTCAACGGGATGAGAGGGAGAGAAGAGAGATGGTTGCTGCGGGAGAAACAAATGTCACCCTTGACTGAGGTACAGAGTAGAGCTGCTGCAGCCTGCAGGACCTCCAAGTGGGTGAGCTCCCCAAGGGACGGCCTAAGGTACCTATATAAAACAGTGTACGCGAACCGGACCCAATAGCACCTCAGTGTGTGGGACATCTTTTTTTGGACACCTCACTTAGCGGCAGCGGCAGCCCCAGACCACCCAGCCACACCTCGCCCCTCACCCACGCTACAGGTGCACCCCGGCCGCTGGACGGTTGGTTGGGGGCGGGACGTCATTCAGAAAAAGAAAGCGAGGCGTGTGACTGGCTGGCCCTGACAGTGAATGGGCTGTGCGGTGGTGAGCAAGCCGCGGACGGCCGCGCGGGCGAGGGCAGGGTGGCAGGTGCCCGGTCGGTAGAGGAGCAGCATGTTCTGTCGTTGAGGCTGGGCTGTTTTACGCTAACGAAAGCGCCGGGACCGTTGGACTGGTAAAGTGATGGAACTTGCATGTCAAGCATGTGCCAGCTGCACGCGGACGAGATGCGAATAGACAGCTAGCTACCTTACTGATAGTATACGGATACAAGCGGGAACCAATACAACGGACACAATGCGATACGGCAACCCGCGTCACTTTTGTCGACCGAGGGCCAGCTATGAGGTAAGTTAGCCTATATCTCCGTTCAGTCGCACGCCAGTACAGGATGGAAGCGCCACCTCCCCGCCCATTTATTGCTCGGCTTCTCAGCCTTGTCGACCAACTCGAGTTTGACATGCTGCAGAGCCCAGTTTGCGATACAAATTGCACAGGGCAATAGGCTATAGCAAGATAAAGGTTGATTCCTATGGACCTCCACAGTCCTGGGTCACTACGCGAACGTCTTCCAAACAATTTTTTCGTATTGCACCGCCATAAGGGTTCCTTACGCCCACTCACCCACGTCATATTGCGCAGGAACAGAGCGCTGAAACGGTCACAGGATAGGCTCCGAGGGCCTTGGATTCTGAAATGGTGGCATGCCGGCAATCGCGGACGCGCATCCGATGACTTTGGCTGATTGGCCGCATGAGCCGCACTTCATCTACCAGACACACAATAGCATCCTCGAACTACCCTGGTTCGGCCGCGTCGGATGGCTGCCGTGCTGACTACCCTACCCTGTATGAGGCTGCGTTGGCCCGGTATTAGCATGAATACTGAACAGGCAAGGTATCCGTAGGCCGAGGGAAAAGAGCCATGTAAGCAGATAGATAGATGGGTCTCGGGGCACAATTGTCAAGGTGACGGATGAGATCATACGGCAGCCTCTCAAGTCATACTGCCTGGCGGCCGTTATGAGCCGGTTGCACAAGGCGACGTGCAGCAGCTGAAACGATCGCTCCGATCTGGCAGGACCGCAGCGTCGGAAACAGAACCTGCGAGTGGCACTCAAGCAGGTGTAACTCGCAGATGCAGTCGATTAAGTTGAACAAGTGAGTGCGTGACAACAGCAAAAAGCAAATACACTCGAATTCGTACCTGGTATTCGTAGACGGCCTCTCCTTATTACTCGTCAGGCGAATCAGAGACGTCGACGGGCCCCCGAGATCCCGTGCCCCACCTGGGCTTGATTGCGCTCGGCAGCACCCGGACCCGCGGCACCACCGGATTAATGTCGGCCCCTTCCTCAATCTGCGGCCTGCCTGCCTGCCCGTGACGGGAACCAATAGACTAGACGCTCCGACATGCCCAAGGTCACGACGGGAGGTGAGCCGGGGCCGTTATTCGCGGATAGCCGAGCGTGGAGGGCCCGAATCCACTTCCACGCGTTCCTCCCACGCTGCCAGTTCAACCCACCAGAGCCCACCAGGGACCGGCTGACCCCTCTGATATTTTTATTTTATTTCTTTTTATTTCTTTGCCCGCGTCGCTCGCGCTCTCTCTCGCAGGATCACCGGGAAGCGGCAGGCTTCTTTGTCCAGACCCATCGCCTGCGCCCCTGAGGTCCCGACGGCCTAAACCCCCCCCCCCCCCCCCCCCCCGCCCCCCCCCCCCCTTTGGCGCCCGGCCCCCCCCCCCTTTCGCTCTCCCCCCTGCCCCCCCCCCCCCGCCCTGGCGGCCGGCCCGCCCCCCCCCCTTCCCAAGTCCAAGGTCCAGTAACACTATCCTCTTTGGGCTAGACGGCCGACTCCACCTTTCGCTTTCCCCTCTTGCACCTACCTGTATGCCATCTGGTGCGGTGCTGCTTTGTAGGTCGATCATCTCTCCTTTTTCCTGAGTCGCGCACTACTTCCGGAGGCACCCAAGCGAGTCTTTCCAAGACCACATCACTTCGGGCAGCACAGGTGGAGCGTCCCGTCGTCTTTCACTACTGAGGGCATTCTTTTGTTGCTCCATCACGCGCCGAGACCATCTAAAACAATTCGATCCCAAAGTCGACAACGGGCATTCTCTGCTCCCTTCTCGAATGCAGCCTGGTTCGCCGCCGTCAGCGATCCCATTCATTCCGTCTCACTCTCCGACACTGGTCCATTTCCTCAGCCTCCTCCACGCATGATTGAGGCCATGTTTGTCGTCGCGTTTCCCTTTCCACCTTCGACATCGGGCTCCCTCTTCCCCAGTGCATAATTTCCATGGTACTCCTTGTTTCTTAATACCCCTTCCTAAACCCATATTTTTGTCCAATTACCTGCCGCCGCCCCTGGCTGGCCCGAAAGAACCCCTCGATCTGCCTTCCGATCTTGACGACCCGCGCCTTGTCCAACCCAAACTTGTTTCCCACGAAACCGCCAAACCGCGCCCCGACGACACTGCCGCCAACGTCCACCGTTGCATACAGCACCTACCTGACCCAAACATGGCCGGTGTCCTGAGCAAGCGCCAGCAGGCGCGTAACGAAAAAGTCCTTCACGATCTGGTTCAGTCCATACCGGGAAACAACTTGTGCGCCGACTGTCAGGCGCGGAACCCAGGTAAGTCGAACTGTGCTCTCCCGCTCAGACCGTGGGCCAATACTGACAGTAGTTCGCAGCATGGGCCTCTTGGAGTGTAAGCGCGACGATTCCCCCATGCGCCCTGTCCATACGACTCCCATTCGAATGGGACGGCCACCGTTGACGAGCGAGACTGACGTGCGACTGTAGCTGGGCGTGTTTCTTTGCATGAGATGTGCCGCTATCCATCGAAAGTTGGGAACCCATATCTCAAAGGTGAAGTCCTTGAGCATGGACAGCTGGTCCAATGAACAGGTCGAGGTTTGTGTCAATGCATACCCCGTGTAGAGATTCGATTGCCCCTGACCAAAGCACCGTAGAACATGAAAAAAGTCGGAAATGTCACATCCAACCAGATTTATAACCCGGACAACAAGAGGCCGCCCGTACCCGTCGATGCCGATGAGGCTGATTCCGCGATGGAACGGTTCATCCGTACCAAATACGTCAACAACACACCCGTCTCTGCGAGGAAGCATCACCCGGGCCTGTCAGACGAAGGCGTTCCCCCGCCGCTGCCACCAAAGTCGGGGGGAAAGTTTGGGTTCAGATCAGCCTCGTCAATCTTCCCACTATCGTCCCGCCTGAGAAAGGATTCCTCACTGCGTAACACCATGTCGAGTCCCCGAGAGCCGCGAAGCCCCTCGCCCAGCGATTTGCCGAACAAGCCGTCCAAAGTGTTTGGCGCGAGCGTGTCGTACGAGCAGGAAGATACAGAGAGAAAATTGGCGAGTCTGAGGGACATGGGGTTCTCCGACGGCCAACGCAATGCCATGGTGCTGAAGAGTGTGAACGGAAACCTGGAGCGCTCTATCGAGACTCTAGTGCGGTTGGGTGAGAGCGACAGGCAGTCACCCTCTTTAACAGGGCCTCGCGAGAGCTCTTTACGCGCGACACGCTCGCATGCAAACCTTTCGACATCTAGTGGGCTGTCTGCGCCGCATCAGACATTCAGTGACCACCCCCAGTCACCTTCGACAGTCTCTAGCAACAACCCGTTCGACATGTTGCCGCCGCAACCTCAGTCTTCCCAATCAACCGGCACGCTCCAGAATAAGAACCCTTACGCGAACAACCCGTTCGGAGCCCCAACCCAGCAGCAGCAAGATATCAACCAGGCTTTCGGCAACATGTCCCTCGCACCCGCCCAACCGCTTTTCCCGCACCACACAGGCGGATTGCCGGCTTCCCAGCCGTTTGCTCAACCTCAGCAGATATACCAGCAGTCCATGACGCCTCCCGTACCGCAGCAGCAGCAGCAGCACCATCATCAGCAGCAGAACTACAATCCCATGAGCTTTAATAGTAATATGACATATCCTCAACCTATCCAGTCGCAAGCAACGGGCTACAATCCATTTTTTACGAACCAGGCACAGCCTCAACAGCAACAAAACCTTGCAGTAAACACGGGGCCATCGTCAAGCCCGTTTGCAAACAACCCTTTCACTCGATCTCCAACGAGAATCCAGTCGCCTTCGCTAGGCCAGATACCCGAGCAGTCACAATCAAACTTCTATATGGATTCTCCACAGACGATGACGCCGCAGAGTAGCAATCCCTTCTTTGCACAATTGGGCTCTCAAGCAACAGGGCAACAGCAGGTGCCGCAGCAGCAGCAGCAGCAGCAGCAGATGTATCAGCAACCATTTCAGCAAGAGCAGCAAGCCTTTGGACAGCAGCAACAGCACCCCTTCCAGCAACAGCAACAACACGTTTTCCAGCAACCGGTGCAGCAGTCGTTCCAGCAGCAGGCGCAACACCCGTTCCAGCAACAAGAGATGCCACAACAACAGTACCAAGCTCCTGCACCACAGGCGGCGTATCAACAGCAGCCCCAGCAATCTCAACGGCCAGACAAGGCTTCGATTTTGGCGTTGTACAATCAGCCGCAGTTGGCACCTCAGCTTTTTGCAACCCAGACGCAGGCGCAGACGCAGGAGCCGGCGCACGCCGAGGTCGCGGCACCTCCGCAACAGAGCCAACAGGCGGCAAGCGGATCCCTAGCGGCAGCAGGAAGCAAAAACCCATTTTTGATGAATGGCGGTGGTGCCATGTCGCCACCACCGATGATGGCCCCCGTCGCGGATGTCGTTGGGCCGCGCAAGGCGGGTGTCAGCCGTGAGAGCATGGCATTTACGGATATGCAGTGGACAAACGGGCGACACAGCCCCGACGCGTTTGCCAGTCTAAGCGCGCGGCACATGTGAAAGGCCCCGGGTCTTGGTTCTTCTTGTACATACCTGACCTTCTTTTTCTTCTTCGGTTTTTTTGTAAGATAACTATCGATTCAGACGATGCCAGAATTCGCATGCCATGATGCCCTCCGGATTGTCCCACCACATGGCAGAGAGGGTTCTTCCCTGCAGGTTCAGCAATGCTCTTCTGTGATTTACATTTTTGACTTTGTGTGTCATCTGTTCTTTTGTGACTTTGAAATTGCCCGTAAACGTGGCTTTCTACCTAAAACCCCACCACGGTTTTCCCTTTCGAGGAGAATATCAAGGCGTCTCGAAAGGACACGGCCGAGAATCACCGGGCCCTGATGGTGCCGAAATCGGAACTCCCGGGCAATATTGGCAGCACTACACGCCGGCGCCCCCCATTGGCTCCACACCATGCTTTATGCCGTAGCTCCGAGCCTTCGGTAGGATTCCGGTAGGATTCACCGAAAATCAAAAGCCCGCCGAGACGCGAAGAGCTTCAAACACCGCGCAAGATTGGACTCAAATCCCGGGCCATATGCTGCATATAGCCATTGTACCTGCACAACGAGCATTTCGTAGACTCTTCTTTGGGGGTCACCTGCATCACACACGCGCCCAAAAGCCCATACAACGGCTGTTTGATCCGTACAAACCGTGACCACCTGACCCATTCTATCCCTTCCGCTCGATTCCCGGACCGGTAACCCCTGCACCCTTCCCCCCAAAAAAAAATCCAACATGCCATCCCCTGCCTTCCAAGCCCGGCTCCGTGCCGCCTTCCCGAACGGAGACAAGGCCCCCACCCTCCCTTCCCCGACGTCCCTCGCCGCCGCCTCGGCGTCCCTGCCCCGGCGACCATCTCACGGTGCGGGTGCAGGTGCGGAGGGAGAGGGAGACTACCTCGCACCGCTAGGCGCCGAAGCGACGCTCACGCACATCCTTGACGATATCGTCCCCGGTCTCAACGGACAGGCGCGCAGCGGGCGGTACTACGGCTTCGTGACGGGCGGAACGCTGCCCGTGGCCGAGGCGGCGGATAATATTGTCTCGGCGCTGGATCAGAATGTTCAGGTGCATTTGCCCGAGCAGACTGTTGCGACTGAGGTGGAGAGCGTTACCTTGGGGATGCTTGCTGATGTGTTGGGGCTTGAGGGAGGCAGAAGGCTTGGAGGAGATGGAGGAGGAGGCATTGAGGGAGAGGAAGAGGAGGTGTGGAAGGGGAGGACATTTACGACGGGTGCCACGGCGAGTAATGTACTGGGTTTGGCGTGCGGTCGGGAGGCTGTGATTGCGAAGCGGGGGGGCAACGTCGGGGAGAGCGGCATCCTGGGCGCGTGTCTTGAGGCTGGTGTGAAGGAGATCCAGGTACTGACGAGTATGGGACACAGTTCGCTGTTCAAGGCGGCGAGTGTCGTCGGGATCGGGAGGGCGAGCGTGCGGGAGCTTCCGCTGAGCGACGACGAGCCGTGGAGGTTGGATTTGGAGGCTGTGGAGAGGGCGTTGGGCTGGGAGGGCGTTGCGAGCGTCATTGCTGTGAGCGCGGGCGAGGTGAATACTGGACGGTTCGCGACGGGCGGGTGGGAGGAGATGAGGAGGTTGAGGGGGTTGGCGGATCGGTTTGGGGCTTGGATTCACGTTGATGGAGGTGAGTTTTCTTTATCTGCATGATCGTGGCGGCGAGAGAGGGGGCGTGTGTGTGTGTGTGTGTATGTGTGTGTGTCTATCGTGATCTTGCTGACGGTGATTATTTTGCAGCTTTTGGCATCTTTGCGAGAGCTTTAGAGGCAAAGCCGGAATTCGCAAAGATTAGAGAGATGGCTTCTGGATTGGAGCTTGCGGACAGCATTACCGTCGATGGACACAAGCTTCTGAACGTGGTATGTTGACAATCCCCTTTTACCCCCCCCCCCTCCCCCCCCCTCTCCTTTCCTCTGGATTTTGAGGCAGGACAACTGATTCATGCTGGGTGGAAACAAATAGCCCTACGATTGTGGCATGTTCTTCTGCCGCTCCCTCTCCATCCAGACCTCCGTGTTCACGAACCCCAACGCGGCCTACCTCTCCTCCGGCCCCGCCGCCATCCCTTCGCCCCTGAACATTGGTCTCGAGAACTCGCGCCGCTTCAGGGCCCTCCCGGCCTATGCGGTTCTCCGCTCTGAAGGGCGGAGCGGGCTAGCCGCCATCTTGGGCCGCATGGTTCTCCTCGCGCGCAAGCTGGCGTCGTGGATCCGGGCGTCTGAGGCATATGAACTGCTTCCCGAGGGGGACTGGGAAATGGAGGAGACGCACATGGTCGTGTTGTTCCGGGCTAGGAACGAAGGGTTGAATCAGGAGCTTGTGGGTAGGATTAATGGGACGAGGGAGGTTTACGTGAGTGGGACGAGTTGGAAGGGGAGACAGGCTGTAAGGGTGGCGGTGGGCAGCTGGCGGGTTGATGTCGAGAGGGACTTTGAGATTATTACGAGGGTCTTGGAGGATATCGCCAGAGCGTAGGTAAGCAGAGGGATACCTATGTCAGGATATCTGCCTTCTAGTCTCAATCGGTTCCAGATGGCTGGTAGCACGATTGTTCACTAGGAGTGAGGAAGGTGGCTCCCCGGGTGCCCCATCCTCGCGCCTTCCTCTTCAGCTTGACTTCAACCTCATTTTATCCCGACCTTCACACCGCCCGCCTCCCCCACCACTATTATCCCAAACGAGAGAGGCTTCCAATCTAGATACCTTACTTAGTGAAAAAACCCTCTTCAAATTGTCACCAGCGAAAAGGGGAGCGCCCATGGCTATGGGGGTTCTGGGAACCTGTCGCTGGTGAATCGCCAGGGATTAAGGGTTACGAGTTCGAATCACTCTCACGCCAGACCGATTTTCGACAGACTATCGCCGTCACCGTATACGCACACGTTTACGCATACGCATACGCATACGATTATCAACGACTACTATCGACGACTACTATCGACCACCTCGACGACTACTATCGACCACCTCGACGACCATCGACGACTACCTCGACGACAACCACCGACGACCATCCCGACAACTACTATCGACGACCACTATCGACGACCATCGACGACTATCCCGACGACCATCAACTATCCCAGCATGTGCACCAGAGATGTAGCTCCCCAGTTCAGCATCGAGGGGAGTGAACTCTTTTGCTATTTCTATAATATTGTTAATATATTATCGGCCGGCCGACCATCCAAAGCGGTTTGACACCAAGTTGCGACTTTAGTGAGGACCTTTATTTTGTTATGATAAGAAAATCGTGTTTGAATTCACGTTATTGTGGGCAATGCGTGACATCCACCTGCCGTAACACAAAAAGCCCAAACACGTTTACTGTATGTAAGGTAGGACGACACATAAGGTCGGACGATACACATCTTGACTTTGTAGAGACGGTCGGTGAACGAACACTTGACTGGCACTACAACAACGCATTTACCTACATGGCGCATGTGAACTTTGACCGTACAAGACTTTCTGTCATTGTGTTTCACCTCTAATAATCTTGTGCTGAACTTGGCAATGTATTACTACTAGTCTACAGGTCGAGTATCGTCTCAATTGGGATTCCCCAGTACCAGCTGGCAACGCCCATGGCGCCGATGCTCATAGTGAACGCCATGAGAAAGTTCACGTCGTTATTGTCCAGCAAGTCCCACCCAGTCTCCGCAACCCGCGAAGGCTTGGCATCACCCATCGTGGGCTTGCGGTGCTTGTCCTCGGGGTCGTACCTCTTCTTCGAGTCGCTGGTCTCTAGAGTGTCGACGCCTGCATTCTCCTCCATCTTTGCCACGGCGCGCTTGCCCTCTCCATGAAGCGCCGCGGCCTTGACAGTGGCGCGCTTCTGGTTTTTGTCCGCGTGATCGCTTGCATCGCTGGCGAGGAGAACTTTGGTGCCGCCCTCGCCCTCCACAATCTTGCCAGTCCGCACATCTCTTACGGAACGCTGGAAGACAGCTCCGAGAACGCTATCGAGAAGACTTCCGAGGACGCCCCAGAGCGTCATTCCGAGCATAAAGGTTGATCGCTGCTGGGTCGTCCATGCGCCGAGACCGCCGCCGACCTTACCGGCGCTGTCGTCCCCACACAGGGGGAGGAATACCATGGAGGCCGTGACGATGATCATGGAACCGAGCGCGCCGGCAGCAATGCCGAGGGGTGTAACACCTCCGTTTGTTCCGCGCGGGACCTTGCGCAAGGTGGGGGATGTAATCAGGCGGGGTTCTCCTTTGGCCAGGATTCCCAGTTCAGAGCTGAACGTGTCGGCGGCGACGGCGGCGTAGTTTGCGATGATTCCGATCACGAGTAGATCGCCGCCCCATGAGAAGCAGAGTGTGCCTGAGGGGTTCGGAGTTGTCGTGTCGAGGATTGCGTCCTTCCGCTTGTTGAGTTGGTATGCATGCAGGAGGGAGAGGCAAGAGGCCATGAGCGAGTTGGCGAACACTGTGCAGATGTTAGGCCTGCTATGCCGATATACCTGGGGATTTCAATGGACCAACCTTGGACATGGGTGCGTGCTCCTTCACCTCCCGATGTGCCTCTCGAGGCCATCGTCAACTGTGCTTTGACATCGTGTTTGACCTGAAGTTGACTCAGCATTTGAAAGTCCGCTGCGCGGCAGGGGAATTGGTCGTACCTTGGTGGCCCTCGTTCCAGCAAGAAAGAAGGTGCAGAGCAGCGCGAACGGCAGATTCCACGGATGATAGGCGTGCGCGATAGCTGTAATGACGGCGGCGGCGATGCCTGCGGGGGTCAGGGACTGGTGCGACCAAGCTCGATAGACGAGGGCCAGTGTCGCCGGGAAGGCGTAAATTGCTCTCATGGTGATCGATTGCGTTGATGTCGCGATGTTGCGGGGTTTGCGACTTTTGGGTGAACTTTGGGTGGTACTGTAGAACGGGTTACCAGATTTCCAGCGTCTGGTGGGATGGGCAAGCGTTCGGGTGAAGGTGAAATCCACGTGACGTCAGCGCCGGTGAGCTCGAGGGTCGAGGTTGTCAGGAAGCTCTGGACCCCTGCCTGATTTCTCGTACCTAGCTTGCAGGTTTACCTAGGTACCTTAGCTGCATTATTGCATCAACCTCTATCCAACCACAAAGCCCTTTAAATACATAGATTGTACGATAACGACCTGCTCTCAGAATTCATCAATCGGGATACCCAGAATCACGTCTCAGTCGCGCAGCTGTCTCGCCTGTCTGCCGTGACTTGCGTGACTCACGAATACACGCCTGGGTTTAATGATTGGACATCAAGTGGTTCTATCCTCTGCACTGCATCGCTTCCTCTGGCTATGAGAAGTTTTGATGTGGGGAACCTTGGCTTTCCCTAGCTCAAGTCTGCCATATATGCACTCTTGCACTGGGTGCTGTGACAACTCCCAGTCCCCGCAGCAGCGTAAGCAGCATACAAGATTTCCTTGCACACGGTGAAGAAGGATGGGTAATTATGAGCAGATTTTGAGCCCTCAGAACACTCAATGATACGTGGACTGCAAGGCTTCACATGTATGGTCTGTTGCTGAGCTGCTGACGCCTTTTCGAGGGATTTGTGATGTGTTGGAACCATCCTTTATTATCTAAAACTTCTCTCATTACAAGTAATCCCTCTCAGAGTATGTGGCATGTCCCTCGCTCAGTCGTTGCTGGATCGACTGGATAGAATCTTCCTCGACTCAAAAGATTTTGCGATGACGATGCTTTCCATGTCACCAACGTAATGGGCTTCTCGTCAAGCAAAGAGGGGCTTGCAAAAATTGGATAGGAAGAGTCTGCTGTACCGATGTTTACTATTGAAACGTCCATGGAAAAGGCTTTGTGTGTAGGAACCCTCGAGCTACCATCGTGCACTAGCTCATCTCTGTGAACAGTCAGGTTTCAGGGACTGTAGTTGGGCTGAGGTGAGAGACCAGATGAGCTGCCTAATCTGCGTCAATTACCATCCAAGCTTTTGATGAGGGCATGTTATATTGGTCTGAAGACTGCGAAGACTGATGCTCAAGGCTCGTTGACGGGCATGGCACCGCCTACAGGCAATGACAGGTTGGTGTGACTATGTATTACGATCAAAGGCACAAAATAAACCATCTCAGTTGTCACCAACGTATCGTATCTCACTTTAGCAATAAGGCCGAAGCTCTTTGCGACAAAAGTTCGGGCTTTGTTCCCCGATAACCCCGTGGAGGATGGAGACCGAGTCCCTCCAGGAAACCCGGTGCCAGGGTCGCGCCATGCACCCAATCCTGACCAATCAGAACGAGCTTCGATGCGATTATTAGCTTCCCACGTCCCCGGAATTGGCTCCTTTTTTGCTTAGCGAGAATCGAGCTTCATGATTCATGAGGTCGAGACACGACGTCGCTCCGCCCAACTTACGTGGGATGGATTATGTATAAGGTCTCATAAGTCGCGATAGGAGAGATTGAATTCTTTTACACAAGGTCTTTTGGAGACCACTTTGGCCCGACTGCGACGGGACCATCTGGAGTTTTTTTTCACCTGCATGCGATGGCTGCCACGCGCAACGTCTCGACGAGTGCCCCTCACTCAGACATCATAGCGGCAGACGTGAGGGAAGAGCCCAAGAAGGCTGTCAAAAACTACAAGGGCTTCGTTGCCGGAGTGTTCTCTGGGATCGCCAAGCTCACAGGTCAGTCGAATCGCCTTGCAAAATTTCCCCTCAAACCTCTCAAATACTGAGACTGCGAAGTCGGCCACCCCTTCGACACAATCAAAGTCCGCCTCCAGACAACAGACGCCTCGCGCTTCAGCGGCCCGCTGCAATGCCTCGGCCAAACGTTACGGAATGAAGGCATCCCAGGTCTCTACAAGGGCGCGACCCCTCCGCTGGTGGGCTGGATGTTCATGGACTCGGTTATGCTGGGCTCGCTCACAGTCTACCGCCGCGTCGTCGCCGAGCGCCTCTTCCGCGTCGGCACCGTCGACAACCTGCCCTCATACGGCCACGGCATCGCGGGTGTCTTGGCCGGCAGCACCGTCAGCTTCATTGCGGCGCCAGTCGAGCACATCAAGGCGCGCCTGCAGATCCAGTACGCCGCCAACAAGGCCGAGCGGCTGTACAGCGGGCCCGTCGACTGCCTGCGCAAGATGTACACACATCACGGAGTGAAGGGCGTCTACCACGGCCTCAGCGCGACGCTGCTGTTTAGAGGTTTCTTCTTCTGCTGGTGGGGCAGCTACGATGTCTTTTCAAAGTACTTTCAGGAGAACACGAAGCTCAGCGCGCCGGCGGTGAATTTCTGGGCCGGAGGTTTGAGCGCACAGATCTTTTGGTTGACGAGCTACCCGTCGGACGTGATCAAGCAGCGCATCATGACGGATCCCCTTGGTGGCGGGCTCAATGACGGCACGCCCAAGTTCAGGAGGTGGAAGGATGCGGCGGCGGCAGTGTATAGAGAGACCGGGTGGAAGGGCTACTGGCGCGGATTCTTACCGTGTTTCTTGAGGGCGTTCCCGGCCAATGCCATGGCTTTGGTGGCATTCGAGGGCGTTATGCGGGCTCTACCCGAGTAGACGTGTGGGCAGTTATAGACGGGGACGTTTGTACGAGTGGCGCCGATAAACTTAGACAGCCAGCAGGATACCCAGAGTCGAAATCAGAATCGCATCTCACAGTATACATTGTTCACAATGACGAAAGCCAGGAGAGAGTGTGTGGCAGATCAACAAGCACACGTAGGTGCTAACTTTTGGTATTCCATTTTAACCTTGCCAAAATTCCAGTGCCATGCCGACCCAAGTAACCTGACCCATGCATTGAAACCGTTTACTCGTCATCCTCATCAGCCTCGTCGTTAACGACGTTGAAGAACTTGAGCTCGTAGACACCCTTGGAGGTGGAGACGACACGGAGCCAGTCACGGAGCTGCTGCTTCTTGAGGAACTTCTTGGTCCTGCGAGGGGTGGAAGACATGTCAGTCACCTGCTCTTTGGGGCGATGCCAATGCTGGTGCCAGGGAGGATAAAAAACCTACAGGTACTTGAGGTAGCGGCCGGAGAGCTCATTGTGGGCAATGATCTCAATCTTGCCCTCACCCTGCTGGGAGATCTGAACCTGGTCGCCGAGGTTGCCGACGCGACCCTCAACCTTGATCTTGTCCTGGAGGAACTTCTCGAAGGCAGCGACGTCGAAGATCTTGTCGGAGGCGGGCTGGGAAGCGTTGATGATGAACTTCTTGGTAACCTTCTGGTTCTTGCCCTTGCCGGTGCGCTTGATCGCCTGTATAAGAAGAATGACTTTAGCCTACTGTTTCACGCCGCCGCCCTCTCTTTCGAGAGGGCTGGGCCAACAGCAAAGCGGTGTCATGTACGTACTGCTTGAGGAGCCATTTTGGACGGTTGTGAAGACGCAAAGAAGTTTGATCCTGCGTTTGGTTGTAGTGGTGTGGTGAGGGAGAGAGAGATTGACAGATTGAGATGGCGCTGGATACTTCACGAACTTTTTTCCCCAATTCAAAAGTGGATTTCGGTTGTGGGTGAGAAAAACTGACCGAGAAATTCTAGGGCAACGGATCAATGTTTAATCCGTAACATGGATCTCACCACCTACCCCCTGCACCCCGTTGTGCTCAGCGATCTCGCTGGTGGTCTGAGCGTCTGCGCTCCAATGAAGAGCGAGTCGCGTATTTTGAGGAAATGGGAATCAACTTGTGTTTTTAAAAGGTTCATTTTCCAATCGGAGTTTCCTTCAAAAAGGCATCATTTAACTTAAGGCGTAGACATGAACCTAAATGTTGTTCAAGGCAAAAGGTAGGTACTAAAGTACGGCGGGCGGTGGGCACTTTCCTCTCGGCGGCAGGAGCCTGGAAGTGGCTGCTGCGGCGATGTGCGGCCTACCATTTGCGCTGATCGGTGGTCGATACCAATTGCCTAGGTGGTGAATCAGGTACCTCTCCTCTGCACTATATTCTTCCCTGGCGCCCTTGGTTGACAACATTGGCAGGGCGCGCCCCTGAGCAATGTCGTCAATGATTCAACCTTCATCGTACAGGCACTGACGGTTGATCGTCAATGGCTAGGGTTTCCTGCCTGAAATATCCTGCCTAAAACCCCCACGCAGGAGAGCCCATGCATGAGTGCATCATGGGAGCAATTCGCGAAATAGTCGCTTCTTTCTCTCATTGGTGGACTCGGATGCGGCTTCAATCTGGGCACGATTGCGGACCAGTGTTTACGAGCCAGTAGGGTTTAGCATAGGGGTTGATTTCACAAGTGCCTGAACTTCTCGTGAATGAATTGTTCTACTTCAATTATCTCGTGACGCGCATGATTGCTAACACTTGGGTTGTTTGTTTCAGGTAGCCTACGGCGAGGTGTCTCCTGAAGAATTGGCCCTCAAGATGCGCAGCATTAACCAATTCCGATCCACCCTTTTCATGCTTCTCAAGTCTTTCAAGTCGTCGTAACGGCATTGCGCAGCGCAACAAATCCGACGACTTCTTCGAGATTAGGTATTTTCATCAACAGGTTCATCTAAAGATAGCAAATGCTGTATACGAAGGGAGTGCGCAAACGCCGACGCATTTTGGACAACGAATTAGCTCGCCATGCCCAGATGTGATTCATGTACCAAGTGGGTAGGTCACAACGTCATTCCAAGTCAACGAAGTCGATCTCCCATAGTTCCATCTTCTCTTATGATTCGTAATATGCTACATTGCTAAGCTATGGAGTCAAGTGACTAATGATACGACGCTAAGGCTACCAGAATAACAACGCATTCATATCTACTGGCAGGATCTCATCAAGAAACATGAGTTACAGGCGAACCATGTCTACTGTCGTCCCAGAACATTCGTCTTATTTTGAAGCCATTTTGCCACTTCAGGGTCCGAAACCAATAGCAAGACAAGGTGTAGCCCTCAAATCAGTCTGCCAAAAGTCATGGTCAAATGCCATCAACCTACTTGTTCAAGTTAGCTCGCCGAAGGTCAACGTAAGGCGCATATTCCTGTCGTGACATGCCACAGTATGCAATGGGTACGAGACGGCCGGGAATCTTCAAGTCCGATTCCTGCCGGATGATGGATGGAGATGGATGACTGGTTCTCGGTTGATGATGCCCGGAGGAACACGGATTTGTTAGGGAGCCCTGGCCGTTCGTGCACGGTTGGGGCGTGCGATCCCTGATTAATGTCTGAGGCATATATGCATAGGGCTGAACGATTGGACGGGATACGTACCGAAACGGACCCCACGTTGATCTTCCAACTCCCCTCCTTCATCAAGTAAGGTACCTATCTACCCTCTGAGTCGCAATACCAGCCAAATTTCGTCTGGATCGCGTTTTTTTTGCCCAAGCACTTTCCATTGTCACTCAATGCTACCAGTTAGGCATCCAGTCTCGTGGCTGGACCTCGCGCAGGGTAGCCTGTTCTCGTGGCAGGGGTGTGCGCCAATGATAGCCACGAATGGCGCGTCGTCCATTTCCACTCCAGTCTCTGTCGATACCAGGTGGCCAGGATCCAATCGTTTGAGCCGTTGCGGCAATGTTACTTTAGCTGCCGTTACATTACTGTACAACCCTGATTTCTCACAGCGTTGAACTTGTTTCATCCCCCGGATGAGGCTCGGTGAGGTGGAGGTATTTCGCCGTGAAGGCCGAGCTGTAACCTCCCATTTGATGGTGAAAATCCAAGGCGGAGACTCTCATACCACACCAACTTGCAAGGCGCAGTCCATCCATTGGGGCATCATTTCGAGCATGCAGGCGGACTCAGTCATCTGCCGTGGGTGTCAAGTCCAACCTAGGGACCATCGTTTCTTGCTCACATGCCCGGCCTCAGCCCACCCACCCAGACCTGCCTAGCAAACGATGATGTTTATGCAAGCTACGGAACCGGGCTCGCCACCTCGAACTTGTCTTTCCTCTCGCGGGATACTTGTTTCTTGTTGTAATCGGAGCACAAACATCAAGATTCGATTCACCGAGTCCGGACCCCGTCTTCGTCCAAGGACAACATAAGCATGAAGTTCAATATGGCCGAGAAGCGATGACAAACTTTCACAAACAAAAATTGGCATTCGTACCAAGCTCGGACGGATACGAGATGTCTCTGATTCCCGCAGCTGTGCCGCAGCGGGATGAGATCAACCGTCCTGCAGCCCAGTTATCTGGGACATCGGTTCAGGGCACTGTGCCTCTCCTCACGCAGCCAGGAACCCTTAGAGTGTGGGATACGGCAGGTTGAGCGTCTCTCAAAGCGTTTGGATCGGGTACCGCTTGTGATGGAGCGGTTGGGAGGTTGACCTCTACCTCCAACGGAGTGGTTTGCTTTCCGTTAGCCTAACCATACTCTGCCCGCTGCCTTCACCGGTATGCAAGTCAGCAGACGTCACCTTCATTACGCTTCCAAGTTCCAAGGTGAAATGAATACAAAGTCGGACCCCACCACTATCTAGAATGCTCTACATGTATATTCGTTCTCTTGGCTTACAATGTCCATAGAGAATCGTCTCCTGTACACGTCAACAACCGGAACCCGATCGAACTCGAGAGTTGACCTGTCGCCGCTGGAGTTCTCGCTTTAGACGCGGGATTGGCCACAGCGTTGCTCGTATGAACTCGGCCATGTCGTTGCCTTGCGTCAAAACAGCCAGTCGTATTCCATACACGTCTTTGAGTCACTTCGCACATTCTCTAGTGGTGTGGTCTTCGCATCGGCAGTCCCCGTCGACTGCTATGGCATTTCCTTGACGAGGATAACATGCTTAAGGTAAGTATGATTTCGAATTTCAGCAGTGGTGAAACATAAATTACAAAATCTGGACGGATCCATAATCTTGAACCTAACAACTCTGAGTAGGCTTTCTCTGCTATACACGCTGCATACCACAGTCATGATGAGAATCGCCATCGTAGGGGCTGGTGGTTTCGCAGCCATCCTTGCCCATCACATCACGCAAACAGCGAATCCTGTGATCATTCTGTCAAGAGAAGTAAGAAAGTCGTGTGAGTGAGTGAGTGAGTGAAGAATATGGGACTGAGGAATATCGCAGTCAAAACCAGAATTAGAGCAACGCTACGACTGTCAAGTTGCCGTAGTAGACTACGACGACGCCGAAACTCTTCGATTTGCCCTCCAGGGTATCGATCTCGTCATCTCAACAATACGCGGACAGGAGCAAATCAACGTCATCCATGCCGCGCGCCACGCCCGCGTCCGTCTCTTCGTTCCAGCGGAATTCGAGGGCTCGATATCTCATCGCCCATCCAGTGACGATCCCCTCGACTACGGCTCTTCCGAAGCCATCGAGCTACTGAAACATTGCGCCAGCTCCAAGTCACGCAAGATGGAATACACGGTCTTCTCCTGCGGTATCCTATACGAGCGCTTCGCACCGGGCGGCCTGGCAGAGTATGGCATGGGAGCCCGCGCTACAATCGGGAGCCAAGGGGTCTACCTTGTCGACGTTGGTAACGCTTCTGCAGACATTGTTGAGACGAACAGCGCTGGACGACCCGTCCATGTCTGCATGACCTCCGTCGCCGACGTGGCTCGGTTTATTGCAGCGGCCATCGAGCTGGGTCCTGGGTCGTGGCCCCGGGAGTTCAAGATGAGAGGGGACAGAATGTCGGTTCGTGACGTATTTGCAAAATGCAGCAGCGTCAGAGGTGGTAAGTGCACTTTTTTACTCTCTACGTGGGAGGGCATATCGAGACTATGCGGACTAATGAAACGACAGTGGCGTTTACCTTGCGAACTCGAAAGTACTCCAAGCTCCAGAGCGAGCTGACACACTATGAACAACGACAGAACTGGAATCAGTGGTGGAATATCCAGCGTCTGATAGCGACGGCGGATGGCCGATATGACTTTCGTCAAGCCAATCTTAATGAAGCCGTCGACTTCCGTCCTATCAGTTTCAGGGCGTGGTTAGAAACCAACTGGGGCCCAGGATCATAGATAACAATACTGCTCTTCGCTTCGCGTCGGATCAGGAGGCATTCCCTGGCCTACTTACACTCATAGTCCATTTTCTCACTGTGTACCAAGCAAAGCTATCTCTTTTTCAATCTTACTACACTCAGGTTGTCACATGTCACTTAGTTTCGGCAAGCAAAGCTACATGTACCTGAACTAGATCGAAGGAACGTACGCTATGATTGCAGACTGTTTTCGAACCACCGAGTCTCTGGCTCCTATATTGGTAGCATCGCAGTTGTTTCTCAATGGCTCCATTTGGCTCAATAGTTCAACGATTTCCCCGTTTCATCTTCATCGCACTCATGACGAGCTATCTCGGGAGCAGAAGTGCCATTTCAAAGTTCTGGCAATCGAGAAAACACAGAGATGATCCTGCTGAAGGGCGGCCTCTGCGGACCATTGAGATGATAGCATGCAGTGAATCGGGAGGGTATCATCGCAGGAATGCATGCATCCTTCGACCCAAATAGGGTTCAACCCCCGACCTGAAGCCAAGGCAAAACGTAGTTGAACCTATTACCTACCTGGACACCGCGTCTGCATTTCCGAAAAAGACGCTTCAGCCTCGAGATTAGGATCGGCCGGGAGATGCAGCCGGTCCCAAGTGCCAGGTAGCCTTCCCAGCACCCTCACCCTGTAGCCTGCGTCTTTTCCCAAGATCCCGGATTTGCTGATTGCTGACGCCTTACCCTCTTTGCGAGCAACTCAACTCCGACGGCGCGGTAACTGCTTCCAATTGGCCACCGTCGGTCCCTTCCCGTCACACTGCATTCGTTCCTAATATGCCGGGGACACAGTCCCCCGGTTGCGTTACGGTTACCCAGAAGCGGCAGGTTGGCCGCGCGCTCGGTGGTTTTGAACCACATAGGCGCGGTGTATCGGTATGCCTCGGGTCCCTTTGCACCAAATCGCCACCTGACGACGGTCTACAACATCGTCTACCCCTGAACTGCCGACATCACACCGAAATAGCTGAAAAAATAACACTTTGAAATAATGATCTTGAAGGCTAACGTAGGCCGCCAGAGGACCCCTTTTTGGGGAGAATGTAGTCTAACCACACCCTCGGTTCTTTGAACAACAACCCCTCCCCTTTCTTTCCTGTTTCTCCCACACCAGAGTCGCGTTGAATGCCCTTTTATCCGCGGTGTTGAATGCAAACCTTCCGTTTAAACCACACCCAATAGCCGTGGTGCTCTGTTGAAAAATTCCATTGTTTCCATACCGGTTCGCCCGTGTCTAATCCCGGTTATCCGCACGCTTTCAGACGCCTTCCCCGCGACCACCCCCACGCGCCGCGCCATCTTGATTGTTGATTGTTGAATAGAGTACCTCGTCCGGGTAACATCACAGTCACTGGCACTTGCCACCCAAAAGAAAAAAAATTCGCTCCCCTCTCACGCCTTGTCCGCCTCGTCACCAAACTCATCCACGACCCAAAGGCAGAACTTCTCCCACTCGGTCTCCCACTGCTTGAGCCTCTGCGCCTTGACGCCCGAGCCCAGGCTCGCTTGCTTGATGCCCTCGGTCCACTCCGCGGGCGTCTCGTCCTCAAAGGCGGACCACCGCACGCTGTTCTCGGCCATGGAGCCCAGGCCGAGCAGGCCGACGTTCTCCCACCCCTGTAGCGCCTGCCAGTAGTCGTGCGACATGCCCGCCGTGTCCTGGCCCAGCATGGCCGGGTCATCGTTGCACAGGGCGCAGGAGACGCCGCGGGACAGCAGGGCCGGCAGCGGGTGCGACATGATGGAGCCGCAGAGGCGGAGGACCTCGTTGCTGATGGGGCACGACTCGACGAGGATGCGCTTCTCCTTGACCATGTCGATGAGGAGCGGGTGCTTGTAGAGCGAGAAGCCATGGCCGATGCGCCGCGTGCCGAGGAGGATCGCGTCAAAGAGGTTCTGGTCCGTCTCGTCGCCGTCGCCGAGCGTCTCGCCGGCGTGGAAGAAGAAGGGGAGGCTGACGCCTTCCTGCGCGCACTGCTTGCGGAACCAGAAGAGCTCCGGGAGGAGGTCGCGGAGGGGCCGGCCGAGGTCTTCCTGGCCGACGAGGTCGTAGCCGGCGATGAGGTGCGGCCAGGCCATCTTGGTGGTGATGCAGTTGTCCATGCTCTCGATGATGTCGCGCACGGGCAGCTGGCGGATGGTGGTCCAGATGGTGCGGAAGCCCCAGAAGGCGGCGTGGGCGGGGTCGGACTTGAAGAGGGCGAGCTCTTCCTCCATTACTTGGAACATGTGGTTGTAGTCCTTTTCCGGTTCTTCTTGCTGGTCGCGGCAGTAGTTGAGCGGCCAAGTGAATCTGTCTGGGATCAGTACATTTTCTTCGTTGTGCAAGAGTGATAATTGGGCGTTTTCACCTCAGCTCGATCCAATAGATGCCGTCTGCCAATAGCGACGCCATCAACCTCTGGAGGAAAGCACGGAAAATTGGTTCGTAGTGAATAATGGTGTTGATGACTCCGAAGCACGAGGCGAACTTGCGCCAAACTGCGTCAATGCCATGATGCTGCTCCATGTTGTCCGTCAGGGTGATTGTGCAACGCGCCTTGAGCCACTTCAGGAACCCCGTCCTTCCGCCATCGGGGAACTCATCTGCTGCCTTGGTCAACAGGCGAAACTCGCCGGGGACATAGTCATCCTCCCAGACGGGACGTTGACTGGTCTCTGCCTTCTTGTATCTGAAGTGTACGCCACCGGTAGACTTCGCTGCGTCGTTGGACAAGGGCACATCTGCAGCAAAGTGAATGCCAGGGGTCTTTAAAAGAACATCGAACAGGTAGTCAAAATCAACCATGGCGTCCAGGTGGGCGTGGAGAAGCGAGCCCTTTGGCATCTTTTGCACGATGCGCCACAGCCGGGTCGTCTCGAGGCGCTGCTTCGCGAGCGTGAACATCATACCCGGAAAGGGTGCCAAGCCCTCCGTCGTAGCGAGGTCCTCCTCCGTCTGGGCATTCCATATCGTCCGCTTCTCCTGGTCTCGGATACGGGAGACAATGTCAGCTGCGCGACGGGCGATTGGAGAGGCAGCGGCTTTGAATGATGCGTCGGCGCGGCTCTTTTGCTCCTGGGCGATGAGAGCATCGCGGCCGTTGATGTACTGTGTGATGAATGGATCAGAGACGGATGGAATGTCTTGGCGGATCTCCTCCCAATCTTCATTCGTGAGAGACATGGTGAGTGGATAGCGCGGGAGCGCGGGGTTGTTGCGAGGAGGTGAGAGAGAGGGTGAGACAGAGAGAGAGAGAGAGAGAAGGCGTTGGAGGACAGCGGGATTGAGCTTTATGAGATCTCGTGAAGGTGCCGAAAATGTGGACTCGGTGTCGGCGAGATAGGCAGGCATCCGTTGCGTTCCCGGTCGGTCGGCTCCGGTGTGATTATGGAGGGGTTCTTGAGTCACCGGCGGTTTACGATGGAATTAGGCGGTCTGCGATGACTGCGGGGTTGCAGTGGCCAATGCACGAAGAAACCAGTGACGGGCCCACTCCGGACTCAGCGGCGCCGAAGCCGGGCAAGTTCCCGGAACGCCGACCGATGGTTCAAGCTGATTGTCCGCTCTACGCCCAACAAAATGGGCTCGGCAGGCGGGAAGAAATCATTTCAAACTGCTCTCGTATTGATATTGATTGTGATTTTCCATGCTACATAGCGAGAGGTGCATCCCTCTCCCCATCGTCAATTCACAGTCATGGCATGTCCTTGATGTTCACAAAGCACACTATTTTCGTCCGGTCACGAATATACACCTGTAAGCGGGCGAGCTAGAGGCAATACACGAAATCGTCACGGCCGCCGATTGCTTCTTGAGTAACGTCGACATCAGATTGAGCATAGCCATTCAAGAAATAACTTCAGTATTACAAAGCTGTGCAATTTAAATCTTAAACTAGGCCGAAACCTATGATTTTGAACGGGAGTGCATCGAAAAGTGAGACTGGCCAGCCTTTCGCAATATCTTTGAAGGTGCGCCGACTGAGACTTCGCAATGGTAGTATTCACCTGGCTGCTGGATCTCAAAATACCACCAGTGGTGTCAGTAGCATCTGAATTTCACCTAGCGGGCGAGAGAAGAGCTGGGTTGATCTACAACAGCCCAGTTGCGATAAAAGAAAGACTGGTACAACGATGCTTTCTGATCGGGGGGGCTTCGTTGAGGCTTTCTCACGGGCAAGACAAGGACGGGGGCAAACCGTCCAAAATGCAACACCATCGTCAAGCTCCGCTGCGGTACTCGTGTTTCGTACCGGCCAATATATCAGCTCGAAAACATCGCGAGATGAGCAACAGAACATATCCCCAAATACTGCTCTTATTTGGCCTGGTGACCTATCCAGAGAGCGGCTTGCTATGGCAGGGGGTGTCTGAAAGACGCGAGGCACGGCTTCTTCGGTTCTTGCGAGGCCTCACACCGGTGAACTGAATCGGATTGTTGTACTGGGGATATCCATACGCTTGTAGTAGATGAAAGAGGCATTCTAGCAAGCCGCTTTGTTTGTACGGTCTCTACCTCGACTGTACGTACCACCATGTAGCTCTGCGTACAGGCGACATCCGCGCGGATGGCTACTTCTCAGGTTCGGCATCTGCCCGCTCGACCTCGAGACGTGCCCCTGCTTCTAGACGTTAGAAGGTCTATCGTTACGCCGTACGGTTCCTTCACTCTTTGTTGAGGAAATGAGATACATGACTGCTGCAACAGTCGGTTGAACAGAAAACATTTTTGTCGATTATAGTAGGGTATCTAGTCGTTAAACCCCATTTTCGTAGTTGCAGCCCCGTCCAGGCAAGCTCGTCTCTGACACTGGCTTCGCCTTTTGAGATTTCCTCACAGTTGTCACAGTGCTCATCCGGCCTCGTGCCCACCAGCACCCCTGGTCATCCACCATCTACCCAAACTCTCCCCCCCCCTAGCCCTCCCAAAGCTCTCTCTCTCCCCTCCGCGTATCTTCCCTGTCAAACCAAATAGCCCTCCCCAGACGCAGAAGACGCATAAGAAGGGGAAAAGGGGGGGGGGGGGGGGGCCCCCCCCCCCCCCCCTTTCAAAAAAAAAAAAAAACATCCTACCCCCCCCCCCCCCCCCCCCCACCCCCCCCCCGCCACAAAGACCCACAAGAGAGGGGAAAAGGGGGGGGGGGGGGAGAAGCCCTCGCCACCTCTTTCAAGAAAAAAAAAAAAGATCTTAGCCGTACTTCCGGCTACCCCCCTTCTGCGCCTGCGTCCCCTTCTCATCCTTCTTCGTCTTCTTTCCCTTGCCAATGAGCTCCAGGTGACCCGCCCTCTCGCCCAGCAGCTTCTCCGTCCGCGACGTCAGGCCCGCGGCCATCTTCTTCTGCATCTTGTCCGCCGAGCTGTGGGCTTTTGCCTTTTGCGGTTTCGCCACGCGCGAGGTGTTCTTGAGCTGCTTGTGTTTGGGTTTGCCGGTCGGCGCGGGCCGCGATGCGGATTTTACGCCGCCTTGTGCCATTTCTTTTCCCTTTTCCTTTCCTTCTTGCTTGCTTTTCGGATGGGACTTTTCTGTTCGGGTTCGCGTCGTATGGGGATCGTGCGGTTCCGGGTGGTTTGAATTTGGTTTCTTCGTTTGATGGGAAAAGTGACCTTGTGGTTTGCAGAAGGGGAAAAAGAGTTTGGCGGAACTCGAAGGCGATTTCGATCGTTTCTTTAGTACCGTCGGTTCTTCAAGTCTGAATCCACGTTGGGGGACCGCGGATGTAATCTTTGCGTCGAGCTTTTCCGGCCTCGAAATCAATTCAACTCGGGCGACGTTGAAGCAGGCAAAAGAGACAAGTTCTGCGAGGGCGATGGAACGAAACGAACAAACCCAAAGAAAATTTCAGTGGGTCACCGCCCGCGCTTATCGCTCACCGACGGGGACACACACCGACTGGACCCCCGCCACCCCGCCTCATTTTCCACCTCTGCACCCTGGAAAAGATACGTACCTCCCTTTTGCCTTTCGCATCCCGAAAGATGAGCATCGTATCAATACCTCTCACATTTCAGCCAAAACCACTAATCAGAAAATCATTCTACAATCTAATTCTAGCCCGAAGTGAAAGAAACTCCAGTCTAAACCTGATACAAGTACAATCTAGATATTATACAAAAACATTACAATCTAGGTTGGGTCATGCAGGTAGGTACATAAGAAAAACAAAAGAATAGACGATAGTACAGCCATGCATCATACAACCGTCACCCGCGCAATATAATACACCCAACCAACCAGCCTATTCTTCGAAAACACCCTCACACGCCAGGTAGAAAGGAGAATCCCTTTTTTTTCTTTCCAGAAAATGGCACACTCTTACGCCTGAGCCTCAGCCTCGGCCTTCTTAATCCTCTGCCAAAGCTGGCCCAGGAACGCGGCATCCACCGCCGGGCACTTCTCATCGAGCCCGGGCACCAGGTTCTCCAACAGCGCCGATGTCTTGCTGTTATCGAGCGAGAACATGACATAGCCAGTCGCGAGGTACTCCTTGAGCACCGTGTTCCTCACGGCCGCCTCGTCCGCGTTGCCCTTGTCCATCGACGTGAGCCACTCGTCGAGCGAGACGACCTCGCCGCGTTTGCCGTCGGGCCGCAGCGTCGCCACAATCTCGGGCAGCTCAGCCAACTTGAGGGGCGAGTGGTTGCCAATGTGGTAGATGTGGGGCTTGTTGTAGTAGTTGGCAGCGGTGGTGGTAAGCGCCTCCTTTTCTGAAGTCAGTGCGAGGAAGCCCTGGGCCAGGTAGTCCACGGGGATGACGTCGACCGCGAAGCCGGGCTGCTGGGGCTGGCCTATCTGCGGGATTTTGGCGGTCTCGATCATACCGAGGATCATGCGGAGAGTGAACTCGTCGGCCGGGTCCAGGTTGCCGTTGTGAGAAGAGCCCGTGACGGCAGAGGCGCGGGTGATGGTTATCGGGAAACCCCGGGATGCGGCGTGGCACAGGAGGTTCTCGGCGACCCAGCGGGACTTGAAGTAGCCAAACTCATCTTCGGTTGGCGGCTGGAAGTGGGACATCTCCTCCTCGGCCGTGACGTACTCGGTACGGGTGCGCTTAGATTGAGACCAAGACTGCAGGTGTGCGACGGACCAGGTGCTGAGGTAGTGGATCTCGGACAGGTGGTCACCTGTGCCGGCGAGACGGATGAGATCAAAGATCGGAGAGACATTGACAGGCTTCAAGAAGGAGTATGTCTTGAGAAGCGAGACGTGGCCGCCCAAGTGGTAGATTGCTTCCACGGTCTGGCCCAGGACACGGAAGGCCGACTTGCTGAGGCCGAAGCTAGGCTGCGAGAGGGTGCCGGGAACAATCTTGATGCGATCGACAACGTCCTTCTCGGTCAAGACGACTCCCTTTTTGCTGTAATCATTGATGAGACCGTACTTGGCCAGCTCGCTCACGACGACAAAAGTCTCGATCTGCTCCATTGATCCGAGTAGGTAGACGGTGGCATTCGGCTTGTTGGTCAGGATCTCAGCCAGCAAGTGCAATCCGATGAAAGACTCGCCGCCGGTGATTAGAAACTTGGAGAGCTCATCGCGGTCGACGCGCGGCGCTCCGTACCGCGGGATGTAGCGGCCGTCGTTGGGAAGCTTGGTCTCGACGTTCCAGCTGATGACGTTTTCAAACCCCGCCTTGCCGCCAGAACCGTCGCCCTTGTTGCGGCGGATGAAGGCGCAGACAGCTGCTGCGGTGGGCTCCTTGATCATCTGGGGCAGAGTGGGCGCGATCTTGTACTGCTTCTTGATCTTGGCCTGAAGACGGACGAGGAGGATCGAGTGACCGCCCCTCTGGAAGAAGTTGTCGTTTACGTCCGAATACTTATCTCCCAGAATACCGCGGAAGAGCCCCATGACGGAGGCCTCGAGGTCGCCAGCACCGGGAGAAGTACCGCTGGCTGCACCGGTAGTCTTGGCAGTAGTAGCAATTGTCGGGTAGAGAAGCTCAAGGTCCCTGGTGAGGAGGTTGCGGCGCTCGACCTTTCCGCCGATGGTCACAGGCAGCTTGGTCAAGAAGTTGTAGGCGTTGGGGAGCATGTAGTCTGCAAAGTGTGTTAGCTTGCATTCAATCAAAAAGGTTGTCGGGTGATATACCGTTGAGATGGGGCTTGATCTTGCGGTGAATGGTCGAGACGAAGCCCTGTTTCTCGGCTGCGGTAAGTGCCTTCTTGGGCACCACGTAGGCGATCAGTTGAAGGTCCTCCTGGCCGGCCTCGACGGTGCGAGCAATGACAGCGATATCAACGAGCTGCGACTGCGACTCCTGGAAGATGCGCTGCTCGACCTCACCAAGATCAACACGGAAGCCACGGAGTTTGATCTGCTTGTCGCCGGCAATGCGACCATGGAATTCAAGCTGCTTGTCGGAAGTGCGGAAGCTGCCACGGTCTCCAGTCTTGAACATTCTAGTCCAGCCTCGCTTGCGGTCCTCAATGCTGGCGAAGGGGTTCTCGACAAAGGACTTGGTGTTGATCTCGGGGCGGTTGAGATATCCAGCACCAACTTGGGAGCCACCTACGACCAGTTCACCAACCATGCCTGCGGGGAGAGGATTGCCTTTGGTGTCGAGAATGTAGTGGCGGCAGTTGTCCATGGGAAAGCCAATGGGCAGGCTGACTTCGCCATCGGCGGGGTACTCAATCTTGGCGATGGAAGTTTGGACAATGAGCTCTGATGGGGACCAGGTATTGCTATGAATCAGTTAGCCCCAGGATTTGAGGTGCTCGCAGCGAAGACTACTCTACTTACTATAAGGTCGCAGGGGTCTTCAGATTGTAGAAGCTGCGCGCCACGCGGACGGGCAATCTCTCTCCCGCAAAGTAAGCGACTCGGTAGTTGTTGCACTTCTTGAGCGCCTCGGTGTTGAGGTCGAGCAGGAGGGCGAACTGAGTCGGGGTGAAGTAGGTGGTTGTGACGCCCTCGGTCGCCATGAATGAAGCAAGACCATGAGGATCTTTGCGAGTTTCCCACGCCGCAATCAGGCAGGTTGCTCCAGCCGTAAGGGCGGAATAGGTTTGCACAATCGAGAGATCGAAAGACATGGAAGACTGGTGCAGAAACCTATCCCTGGAAGTGAAGCAGTAGTCCTTGTTCAGGGTCGCAAGCATCTGATGGGTATTCTCCTCGGTCAAGAGGACTCCCTTCGGCGTACCGGTGCTTCCCTGCAGATTTCATTAGTTCCCTCTGCCACATAATAAAGAACTGAAACCTCAGCTCACAGAAGTGTAGATCATGTAGAAAGGATCCTCAGCCTGGCGAGGGCTGAGCTGCGTGGCGGTATGAGCAGCACCCACGGCTTCGGTGATCCTGATCACCTTGGGGGCAACGACGGCCTTGGAAATGAGGTCACTGGCTAGGGACTCGGCACCAGGGCCAACGAGTAGTACCCGGCTACCAGCATCCGAGATCATGAATGAAAGCCGATCTTGGGCAAAGTCGGTGTCGAGAGCGACGTAGCAGCTTCTAGTCATGAGAGCCGCAATCTGACCGACAATGGCATCGACACCAGGAAGAGCGAGCAATGCGATGCGATCACCGGGCTTGACGCCTGCTTGAAGAAGCTCGGAGGCCACGCTGGTCGCGTCTTGGATCAGTTGCTTGTAGGTGATGCTATAGCCGTCAGACGTCTTGATCGCGGTGTTCTGGGGATGCTCGAGTGCCATTTGGGAGATTTTGTCCTTTATTTAAAAGTATTAGCTAAATACTTTGTAGGTCATAGGACACGCTTATTTCCGTACCAACACGCTTTGTCCCTCCCACTGGTTCTCGCGAGTCTCAGTATTCCAAAACTCGTTCGCCAACGTCTTGAGCTCAATCTCGCCACACATGCCGACCTCCTCGATTGGCTGGCGATGGTCCTTGATACAACCAGACAGGAAGGTGAGAAAGTTGTCCAAGAAGCGCTCCATGTCTGCTTCACTGTAGAGCGCGGTAGAGTACTCGATGCGCAAGTCCAGAGCGTGGTCAGACGTCTCGAGTGCCTCGAGCTGCATGTCTGCCGCGGTTGGAATGTCGTCCGTCACCATACTGTTAATCTGGAAGTCGGAGGTAGAGTATGTAGGGGTTGGGCCGTGGATCTATACAATGTTAGCAAGAAGGAAGAGACTCGATGGCACAGAGTTCAACTAACCTGGTAGTTGACAGCGATCTGGCCAACGGGCATGTGGCTGGGGGTCTTCTTCGCGCCCAAAATATCGACGACAGTGTCGAAGGGAACACCAGAGTGGGCCAAGCTCTCCAGAGCTCGCTGCTTGCAGTTGGCAAAGAGCTGATCAAAGGTTGCTCCCTCGCAGTCATCCTCAACTCGGATGGGAACCAAGTTGACAAAGAATCCGTTGATATCTTCAGCATCAGTGTGGGGCCTGTTGCCATCCACCATGAGCAGCACCAAGTCCTTCTCTTGAGTGTAGCGGAAGAGGAACGCTCTGAAGGCAGCGAGGATGAAGTGGAACGGAGTTCCGTTGGCCTGTGCGGCGAGA